TCAAGTCAGTGTAGCCCACTATGGCTCATCAGCAAGAGATGAATAGCAACGGGGAATCTGTTGCAGGCTATATCAGACTATCTACCTTGTGAAAAGTTCTTTCCCTTTACAGATCAAAAACTTTCCAAAAAGCTATTCCTCCTATTTGTCCAGAGAAGAGCAACCAGGCTGGTGAAGAGACTCGAACACAAGTCCCATGAGGAGAGGCTGAGGGAGCTGGAGTTGTTTAGCCTGGAGAAGAGGAGGCTCAGAGGAGACCTCATCACTCTCTACAACTCCCTCAAGGGAGGTTGTAGCCAGGTGAGGGTTGGTCTCTTTTCCCGGGCAGCTATCAGTAGGACAAGAGGGCATCTCAGGCTCTGCCAGGGGAGGCTTTAGTTGGATATTAGGAAGAAATTCTTTACAGAGAGGGTAATCAGTCATTGGAATGGGCTGCCCAGGGAGGTGGTGGATTCTGAAGGTATTAAATACCTGGAGGTATTTAAGAAGAAACTGGATGTAGCACTTAGTGTCATAGTCTAGTAACTGTGGTGGTAGTGGATCAAGGGTTGGACTTGATGATCTCAGAGGTCCTTTCCAACCCATGTGATTCTGTGATTCTGTGATTCTGTGAATACCTCCAGGCTGGGTGTGAATGTTCCTGGGAGTTATCACAGCTGCGTCATCTGTGTAAAGAAAAAGAAACACTGCCCCACCTTGCAGGATTTGCCTCTTCCTTATCTTGTTTAACACCCACCTTGTAGCCTGTGGTGTCAGATTGCAGGCTGGCATTGATGGCATCAGCGAAAGAGGTACCAGTCTAAATAACAAGGACTTGAAGGCACTAGGTCATTAGTTAATGGGATAGGAGCACAAGTGGTGTTCACTTCAGTTCCTGCAGCTCACCTCATCCTGCAGGGATGAATGAGGAGTAGGAAAAAGGACTGGTGCCACAGGTAGGATTCTGATTTTTTTGACCACAAGGCAAATTCTATGGCACGTAGCCTGCTAGAGTCAGATGGCCTTCATCTGTCTAGCAAGGGCAAAAGGGACTTGAGCATGTCCTATGAGGAGAGGCTGAGGGAGCTGGACTTGTTTAGTCGGGAGAAGAGAAGGCTCAGGGGAGACCTCATCACTCTCTACAACTACCTGAAAGGAAGTTGTAGCCAGGTGGGAGTTGGTCTCCTCTCCCAGACAGCCAGCAGTAGGACAAGAGGGCACGGGGCTTGAAGCTGTGCCAGAGGAGGTTTAGGTTGGATATTAGGAAGCAATTTTTTACAGAGAGAGTGATCAGACATTAGAATGGGCTGTCCAGGGAGGTGGTGGATTCACCATCCCTGGAGGTTTTTAAGATAAGATTGGATGTGGAACTTAGTGCCATGGTCTAGTAACCATGACGGTGTTGGATCAAGGGTTGGACCTGATGATCTCAGACGTCTTTTCCAACCCAGTTGATTCCATGATTCTAAGATTCTATGCAGGCCTTCGGCACCTGGCCTGGGTGGCCACTCTGCACATTGTTAGCAAAGCACACACTGGCAAAGCACACTGCTGACGGAGCCATGAGCATCCTAGTCCAATCTCTTACAGGACTGGGGAGGTCACTGCAGGTGGTCTAATGTCATTAAACACTAGCAGTTCAATCTCTTTAAAGAAGGTAAATGGCATGTTTGGTGAAAAGGTGGATACCAGAATTTTTGTGCAACCCAGGACAACCATTTACATATCTTGTGAAAAGACTGTCAATAGTTTAGCAGATGAGGAATGTAACACTGACTATTACAAAGTAAAGAAATCCAATACTTATGCAATTTAGCTACTCCAAGAACAGCATGAGGTTTCTTCTTGAAATTTTAAGCCACTCCATGTCATCAATAAAGAAACTTAACTGTGAATTCCTCCACTGAGTTTCTACTTCTGAATTATATTCAGGTATCTAATCTGACCTCCCTCAATAAAAGCATTCAGGCTCAAATGAAAAGGATTACAACAGTAATTCTGGAGACAGTGATCTTAAAACTAGAGTTCTGCTACATCTACAAATTCACTTCATCTGTTTGCACAAAAATCTGCCTTGGTCCAGGAAAGTAAATCTTGACATCCAAAGAGATCCCACTTTGTAAGGAAAACTTGATACCACAGAGAAATCTTTCATCTGATTTTTTTTATAAAGACAAGTACTTTAACTTCACATGCTGAAGGCACAACAGTCATGAATAAACAAGGTATGAAAAACAGTTGCCATGCCTGGTATAACTGAGAGGTATGCATGCATTCTGGTACTCCTGTATTAGCCTTACTTGTATGTACGTTTATAACTGACAAAATAGAAAAAGAAAATATCCAGCAGGAAAAAAACTTTTACAAAAATAATTTAATAATATAGAATAATATCCTTTTTTCATGAAGTAATATCTAAAGTATCTTCTATAGCTGTTAATTAAAAAACTGTGATTCAAATGAAAAGAATTTTTAAGTGCCTAATCCAAGGCAAAATTTAATGGTAGCTTCAGAAAAGATCCTACAATTGCAAACCATTTATTTGGCGGTGTTTTGGTGGTGGTGTTTTTTTGTTGTTGTTGTTTTGGTTTTTTTTTTTTTTTTTGGTGCATTATTCTATATCCACTAAAGACAACAGATACGCTAATAAATTAACACCTACTGAGTCATGTTCCTCTGCTTTTCAAAGGAGCAAAGACATAGCAATAACATTGTTTTATCTAGATTCAGGAGTGGCTGTTGTGCTCATGACTAGCCAGCTTGTCTACTCATACTGATCCAGACAGTCATCATGTAAGTAGGGTACTCCTTTGATTTTACCAGCACTTCTCACCTTGCTTTGATAGAAAAGGAAATGCAAGCACTAAGAGATAAAGGTATTTTCCCTATCATAAAAGGTAAGAGTTGAAATAGGAGGAAACCAGTACAATCCTCTTGCCTTTGTTTAATGACAATATATTTGGGAGATGAGACCTCTAATGAGATGAACTGTCTTTTTTTATTATTTCCCTCCCCCCAAACATAGAGAAGGTAAAAAATTACAAGGTGTCTGAATGAAGAAGGAAAAAATCAGAATTTTACTAAAAAGGGAAAGAAACTTAAAACCCCAATAATAGAAAAATATTACCTCGCTACCCCTCTCCCCCCTAGGGTAAAACAAAGCTTGGAAGGATATTTCATTTGAAAAAATTTTATGCTGCTGAGGTGCTTGGTGTGGGTTCCATTGTAGCAACCACATGAGTGTGTTGGTGGCGGGGCTGGGGTTGACCTGGCATGGTGCGGGAGCCTGGTGGGACCTGAGTGTGCCTGGGCCACAGTGTAGTGGTGCTTTGTGCAGGTGAGAGAGAAAAACAGCTGCAGCTGAGATGGAAGTGACATTGGAGAAGGCTGACGGTGGCAGCTCCCAGGGTACTGTGAAATAGCTCCGAAAATGCTCCGAGAAAACAGTGCTATGATGGTTCCACTAAGTCTGAGTTCAGTGGGACAGAGAAGGAATGGCTCCAGCAAAGACTCTGAACATCTGCAGTCCTCCAGTGGGCAAAACGCAGGTATAGAGAGAGCAGTTCTGGCCCGTGCCCACCTTTTATCTCCTGTCTCCCAAGTTCCTGGGATGGAAAGGGATCCACTTTTCTGGCAGGTCTCGAGACCCCTGGGGACAGTCTGCCCTGATCCAGCCCGGATGGGGCGATCTGAAATTACGTAGTGGTATGGAAATATTCGTAACTGAAAAATCCTTCCCATCTGACTAAAACTACAACACCGCTTGTTACCATTTCAGGGCCATTGGTCTACATGACCAGCTTTTTCCAAAAGGTATGTTTTAACTTGCCAGGATGCCAGAAATTCATAGACAACAGAAATAATGCAAAGTGAGAAATGCTGTTTACATTGCACTGATGCTCACCATCTCTGTATCATCTGTAAAACAGGTAAAGGTGTTTCAGATATTTTAAACTGATTGGTATCTATTTTAGTAAGGCACTGTCATTCTGATCTTCAAAGAGTAAGGAATATATTCCGTAGGTCAGGCTTCTCCTTGTGAACCAGTTCTGAATATTTCAACTTGCTTTTTCGGCTGCTGACATTCCACAATGAGCAGGGGACAGTCTACAGGGCTGCGCTACTTCCCAAGCTAACACATTCCAGCCTGGCCCAGCTTAACCCAACACAATCATTTGAGACATTTTCCAGTTCATTGTTCAAACCTCTAGCTGCCATCAGCTCATGGTTAAAGTAAATGTCATTACCTCTGGAGCCCATGGTGAAAAATTTATGTAGTCCTGGACATGATACAGGTTTTACAGTTTTACAGCTGCAATCCTTCAAGTTGCTTGGACCTACTGGAAAAGGATTTATTTTATTGTAACTCCCTAATGTTCATTTTCATATGTGTGTTTTCCCACAGAATGTGCACATTGCTTCTAGCAATGTGTTTTATATTACCCGGAAGAACAGAAATGCTCTAACGGGAGGAAACAATTTTATCCTTATTGCCAGTGCAACAAAAAGCAGAACTTCAAAATGACGCCATGACTTCTCAAGTAAAGTCATCCCATTTATTTTGGAGCTTGGGGATCTCACTCTTCACTCTCTTACAGTCTTCTGTGCAATTACGCTAGTATAAACCCTACAAACTACGGGCCAAAGGAACACACAAATATTCTTTTTGCTTATCACAGACAAAGCAAGCTGCTTGCCCTTGATTTATATGTACCTCAGTAATGCATATAGAAAGGAATCTGTCTTTCCCTGTAATGAGTTCATCTTTGCTTTTTGGGGCAAACATTGGGCATGCCTTTCTTGACATAAATTCGGTCTCTGTCCTGAGGAGTGTCCAGTAAGGCTTTCATCAGATATATAACTATAAAGAATTTCATATAGAGTTCAGTAGCTAGCCTGGACAAGGCTTTGTGACAAACATCTACTGGAAAATTAAGATATAAAAAAATATCTTTCATCTTCCTAATGCATCTTATCTTACTTCATGTTGCTGTAAGATGTTAATGACCAACAACCCTCACCTTGATAGTGAAGTCTGCAGTGAGAGGCCCAGATATTCTTAGTATCTCCTTGTCAGGAAACTTCTGGAAGTCAATGCTAGAATTTTCTACAAGGAAGGAGCCCGTGGTGCTGAGACTGTTTTCACTCTTCAAACCTTGGAGAGTCTTGGTTTCCAAATCTGACAAACAGAAACAAATTGAAGGGAAACTAGAGCATTGCAATTTGAAGCAAGAGCAAGTGAGAGCAGAAAAACAAAGGGAACACAAAAGAGTGGTGGTTCAGATTTGCCTCCTAAATTAGGAATAATGCAACTACTTTCTTTTTTTTCATAGTTAATTCACATTCCCATACTTTTCTTTTTCTCTTCAATCTGCTTTTGGTCTTTGTTCAACCCTTAGATTTTTAGGTTGCATTCCCCTCCTCACCCATAGCTCATGCTTTTACTCTCTTCCAGATATATTAATACATTCCTAGTTAGGCATATTTGCTGTCGTTCAGCTCACTCTCAGTAAGTCATGCTCCTATGTGGAGCATGACTCAGACCTTGGCCCATGAGTATGCTAAGTTGCTGTACCCTCTTGCAGTTCAAAGGCAGGTCAATAACCACATGTTGTTGCGTTAGATAATTAACTTCAAGCAGAATGCCCAGGAAAGAAAGATCAGTATGACAGCAATCCTGTCTCCTCTCCAGAAGTAGCCTGATCCATTCCAGTGGAGCAGAAAGGGAGAGTGAGTCATGAACCCTCCTGAGCTCTCCTTCTGTTTCTCTGAGTTCAGAGCTCCCAAAAGGCAGGCATTAATTCAGATACTGTTTGGTAGCAGTTACTTCTGATTGTCATAATAAAAATATCAGTAATTTATTAAATAGAAATCAAGAGTCAGCAAGCAGATCTGTCTCACCACCTAGTTAGCCAACTCCAGATTATGCTTTATAGCATGTTCACCAGTAAAGTGTTTCTAGCAGTTATTTAAAAGTGAAAATGTATTTCATTGTGAAGGATTGCAAAGCTTCAAACTTTTCACATGTATTTATGAAATTATGCACAAAATCTTCTCCGAGACAGGGGCAGCCAAAGCAAAATCTGAGTTAGACGTTGGCATACTATTCATCTGTGATGGAGAAATATTTTCAAAGACAACAAAGGAAAGAAATGTTTTAATTTGTGTATATTAAGTTTCTAATTAGGGAAGAAAGATAATTGCACTAATTAGACCACTTTTCATGGTGGGTGAAGGGAATTAATTAATGAAGGAAGTTGCTGAGACAGTATACTAAAAATTTGCACTGTATTTGTGAATTCCTTGGTTTTTAGTGAGATTAATATCTTCCTTTGTGATACACTTGGCCATCTATTTATTTCTGGACAAGGCTGCATGCAGGAATAAAGATGGTTTGAATAAAGATGGTTTGAAGACTCATGTATACATAATCAGCCGCTTGTTGACTTCTCCCATAACCAAAGTTCACAGGGCAAGATACTCCCCTCCCTGCAGCTGATTGTAGCTCATACATATATAAAGCCCTTTGATGAGAAAAGAGAAAGATTCATGGAGACATCTGAAACAAGAAAGAGATATATTTGGACTTATTCATGTTTACACAGTGCAGTTAATCTAAATCTTAACCAGTGACTCAGGCAGACTTCACTGATTCAAATTTTTTGTCTTGAAATGTGATACGGTCTGAGCAAAGACAGCTTTAGATCAGTCTCTCTAGCTAAAATGTCATTTCCCTCTAAGCTGTTTTACAGCTTAATTTCACTAAAACAAAAATAAAAATACGATTTTTTTCAACCTTGGAAGAGAATATCTATATTGGAAAAGAAGATAGGAGAGAAAGGAAAAGTGCAAATCATGTACTGGGAAAGTAGTAACAGCCATTACTAGAGCAGCTCAGAAATACTTAAAGGTCCACTTAAAACTGAAGCACAGGCAGCATTTGAACTTTTAAGAAAAACAAAATACATTTTTTCTTCATTTATAACCTATAATTTGCTGCTCTTTATTCACAGTTCTAAATTGGAAGAACCATTAAAGCATACCCACTGCTTTCTCAACACAAGTAAGGAGCTACAGAACAGGACTGATAAACCACCTCTTATTTTGCCACTCAGTATAAAATCTTTCAGCAAAAGAAACCCGAAGAGACTGGAATTATTTGGTGTTTCACACCTTGCTGACACTAATGTTTGTATCTACACTGACAAGCACAGGACTCGTCCATGCTGCAGGAAAATCCTAATGACTTTTGGAAAAGGAGAAGGGTAGCCCAACTTACCTTACAATAATTTGTGCTACTGAGAGGTCATGCAGTACAGTTTGTTTTCTGACAGTGAATTTCATTTACTAACATTTTAGTATTCATTTGCTGCTGAAAAAGAGAGCAGCTTCTGAGCACCCACTGCATTGGAAGGTAAGAGAGAGGGATGCAAGGAGCTTCTATTCATGAAATAAATGGATTTGCCTTCAGCTCTTGCAGAGTGTTCTCAGATCCCAAGACTCCTCCCAGAGAAGAGGGATACAGAGATGCTAGGATACACAGATGAATCAGGGGAGTCTTATAGACGCCAAGTGATGGCTCGCAGCACTCCAGTGGTCTCAACTACTTGGAGCGATACCACTGCTAAGGAGCATGATTTGACTTGTGTATGCTGTTTCAGATCTTCAGACTGCGATTTTGTGTGCGTGTGCATGTGCACAGGTATGTATCAAGGGGACTGAGAGAGCCTATCATAACAGAAACATGTTAAAGTCATAAGTAGCTTGATGGCTAAGCTCAGCTGTGGGGAAGCTTATACTTTACTGTCCTCAGGATTTCTTCAGTCAGTGGTAAATATTTTATTAATTTTAAACAAAATACTTGACACCAAGTGAGCCAGCCAAAGGATAAGCCAACAGAAAAATTATGGAGTGGCAAAGAATTCTGCAATGTTGGCCAAAGTCTGTTCTGAAAAGAGTGTACCCCTGATGTAACTGGGTCTGAGAAGCACTTCTGAGGGTAGGACTCATCTGTGTGTTGAAATCAGTAATCTGAGAGAGGGAAACCAAAGATCACAGTGTAAACAGAGCACTGCAGGTTACCAAGGCTCTCTTAAACAAATGTACACTATCTTATTCTACTTACACAAATGATCAGGTCCTTTCAGCACGAGGCGAACTTGCCTGCTTCCATAGGGAATAGCAACCACTGTATCATCTACTGTGGAAAGGCAAAAATACATGGAGTAAATAAGCACAGAAACTCCCATCTGTTTCCAATGAAGCAGTGAAATAGGTGCTTACGAGGAAGTGAAAAGAAAAGCCTTAGGACCAATTAAACAACTCTAAGGATTATTACTGAAAATATGAAAAAAAAAAAACAAAACAACTTGTTAAATGTGGTGAGAACCTTCTGTTAAGAACCCAAACCTGTTGATTTTATTTATTTGTAACTACTTCACAATTATTTCTGGATTAGTAACTTTGATTTCATCATGACTCCACTTAAACCTTTTTCAAGTATTTCAAATTGATATTTGTGGCAGAATCTTGCATCTATGAAGCCCTTCGGAGCTTTGCCCTTTGGGTTTAAATCAACATGTGAATTAGCATGGAGGCCATATGTACCTGTAAAAGCATTTCTAAAGAGTCAGCAAACCTCAGTAAAATGGAGACAGGAAGGAAAGGTGTGGAAAGATAATGTAAAATGTTATACCTGGGTCATGAAGTGGGGCACTCAGAGAATGCTGACTTGAACTAACCAGCATGCTTCATTTACCTTTCCCTGTCCTTTCTGCCTCCTTCCCATATAACTAGCAGCTGGGAAAGAAAAAGCATGTATTCCTAACAGGATTTTTTTTTTTTTGGGGGGGGGGGTGCGTGAGAAGGTAATAGACACGAGTGAAACCAGCTCTCTTTCACTATTTATCCACTAGAACTACTCAGAGCTGTGCCACAAAATGCCTACTAGCAGAAGCTAAGCTCTGCCATCAAAGCAATGTGTTGCTTTGTCAGGTAAGGCTAACTCAGACAATAAAGGCATTTCATCTTTTATTCAAGCATATGACCTGGGGCCTTACCTTTCTGTCCAGACCAAAAGGGGAAAACTGTTGGAAGCTGACTAAATCAGGATTCTCACTTACCACCCTAATAGTTATTAATGTTGTCATTTTATATCAAAATACTAAGAGAATCAACAGAGAGAGAGGAAACACTACATGAAACAGGAACTTTTGAAAAATACATTAATTCATCCAAACTTATTTTATCTCAAAACTGAATTAGAACCCTCTCAAATTTTAAACTGTGTAACGCATCATAGGAATTCCTGACATTCTTATATTAGAGGGCTTAATGGGATGAAATATTCATACTGTTGGGGCCTCTTAGTATCCCAAAGTGAGGGGGCAAATGTAATCAGTCACTCTGAGTGCCAAAAGAGTCGTATGGATGTAAAGCCTGTTCAAGTTTTCAGGCCATGTTCCATGCTCAAGATCTCATGGAACCATGTTCCATTTTTCAATATCTGATTCGATATGTTTCCTCAAATGATCCAGGAATTTCAGTGTCTCCTAAGTCTTTTGTAACATTGGGACTAAACTCTACTCAACACACATTATGCTCATACAAGTCTATGATATATAAGCAAAGGTAGAAATCTTTAATCTCTATACAGAATTCAGATTTTCTATTTGAAGAGACAAATATTCAAGTTCTAAAAAATTCACTAAATATTGATATTCTAGTACTGATTTTATTGGTACCATTCTGGCACTCATATTCAAGATAACCAGTAGATTAAACACATTTTATCCATTTTGGGGAACAAAACACGTGAGTACTGTAAAGAAAGGTATGCAGGTATACTCAGAAATGCCAAGACACTGGAAAGAGTTCAAAAGTTGAATTAGAAGGCCAGAACATGAAAAACTTACAAATACTTCACAGTGCTATAGAAGCACCAGGCCCCAGGGAGAAAAAGGCAAGTTCCCACCCTCTCCAGGGCCTTTAGTATCTCCCCAGTGTTAGGGTTAGGGTTAGGGTTAGGGTTAGGGTTAGGACTATGATTTCACCTGATCTTGCAGTTGCTCTCCATTTGAAATCCTAGCATGCTTTATGTGAAATGCAAAGCTCATTGGGATTTATGCTTATCACAGTGCTTCCTGCTTTCACAAAGCAGAAACAATGGGAACTGAAGGATAATTTCCTGCAGTGACCAATGATAAGAAAGAGACATTTCATGTGAAGAGACATGTGAAAGTAAGCATGGTAATATTTAGACACAGCTCCCTGTAACAATAAGCAAAAAGGCAGATTGCGGAGCAAAAACAGCAAAAAACATAAAGCGCATTAACAGGTGGTTGGTTTTCTCCAGAGACCATGCATAGGGAAGCAAGGGAGAGTCCCAGATAACTGGAAGGACAGTGGCTCGGGACTGTGAAGAACGTGTAAGGATTTAGGCAAAAGTTAAATGTCATGTGCATACATCAGATTCCCATGAGAGATCAGTTTTTTCTGGTTTTGGATTTTTAATTTGGATTTTATCCAAATGGTCTGTCAGTTCTCATGATGAAAAATGGAGTTCTTTTTATTTCCTCATTACTACTGATATTTAATGGAAATCTGGAACTGAATCTATTTTTGGCAACCATGGTAAGAGTAATTAGGTAAGTATTCCGACTACCTCAGTGTAACAATTTACACCAGTAGACGTCAATCCTTCTTTAGAGAAATACTCTAAATAGAATATTGCATAAGGTTACTGGCAAATTTCACTCACAATCTATGGGATCAGCTCTCTAGCTTCCTAAGAAATACAAAGAAGTCTGCTTAAATATAGCTCATCTCCATAGGAAGAACATACACCCTTTCCTAAAGAAGATATTATTAAACAAAAAAGAAAAAGATGAAGACAGTACTAAGGCTGGGGGGTTCAATCTTTCTAAGAGAAAAGAATATTTCTGCAATGAAGGTGTCTGTAGCTTTTTTATTATTATTATTAAAAAAGTACAGACACAGGTGCCTTCTTTTTCATAAAAATGTAAGTGAGAATTCAAGGTGCCGTTACCTCCTGCCCTGATATGTTTCTGTTTCTGAGGCCACTGAGAGATGTATACTAGCCCTATAAATAGTGAGGGAGCTGTTCCTGTAGCAAGTGTTTATAGTGACAAATGAGCAAGATGCTGACACAAAGTGTTAGTGGCATCAAGGAGGATAAATGTAGAAAATTAATATAGTAGATTTTAAAGTGTTTTTCAACATTTAAAATCTCAGATTTTCACAACACTTCATAACATTTCCATAAAACATTTGGAAGCAAACCTCAAAAAGGATTCATATTAATTCACACATTCAAAGGTGATCCTAAACTGTGTCTTCAGAACTGTAAAAATCCTATTTAAAAAAGACTTTCTTTTGATACATTCAAAATTCATAGTATTGCATAACAACATGTATGTTTACAGCAGAGAATGGAATAATGCCACATGGCTTATGCAGAGCACATACAAAATCTATGATTATCTACTTTGGCTCGGAATAACAATTATTTGCAGCAATGTGTCTGAAAAATCCATTCTCTAATATTTTTTTCACATTTGTCTCTCTCTAAGACTATGTTCTCTGTCATTGCTCTACTACCTTTATAATATTCTGTTTAATAGCAAACCACTGGGACTAGGGACTCTATTTTTTCAACATTTTAGTACATATTAGTGCCTTTATCCTCAGAAGAGGATTAATGAGCACCTTTTTTACCCAAAGCAACTGAAAAACAATGAATTTCTCCTACAGGAAGAGATATTTACCAAAAAAGTTCACAAATATCTTAATGTCTCAAGTAGGTTGGAGATTTCCAAATCTGTTCCTGTAAAAGCAGATAACAATGAGTTGAAATTCCATTTCTAAATCTTTCTGAATTATTTCCTTTGCCCTCTACTGTGCAATTCTGTTTCAGCAACAGAACTCTTATAAGGATTATACTAAATCCTTCCTTCCTTCCCTTTTTTATTCTCCTACTCTCTCCCTCTCAGTTAGGAAACAGAGAGCCAGAGGTGCACTGTGCTAACTGCTGCTCTGCGTGCTGTGCTCCATACTGAAGCACTTAATCTTTCACAGAGAGAAGCTTTTGTAAAAAGTACCTCTCACTGCTCCTCCCAGAAGCTGAATGTTCTATATAGGAATAATGGCCAGTCTCTTCGCGAACGAAGAACCGGGGAAGGTCTTTCCACCTTCCAGCCTGCGCATTGGATTTTTTAGGTGAGACACAGTGTGCGCAGAACTGAGCCCACCCTTTAATCCTGAGGTTCATCTGCCGGGGCCAAGCACGCTTGGACGGTGGCAGCGAGGTCCTCAGGACGTAGATGGATTGCCTTGCAGGGCTAACGAGCTCCATCTGCCCGGGGAGGGGCCCCGACCGGGATTCGAACCCGGGTCTCTGCAGTGACAGTGCAGTGTCATTTCCCCTAGACCACCGGGGGCTCCCATATAGGAATATACACACAGTCTTCAGTAGATACTACACTGCTATTTGAATCTTTGAGGTCATGTGCTATTCAGCACTGGGAAAAGTGCTCCAGAATGGTAGAGTTGGTCTGATTGAACTCTGAGGCTGGGGGCAGCTTAGAATGCTAGCACATGTGTGTTTACACAGGCTGGACAATACATTTACCTTTCAATCCTTCCTGCGAACTGACCAGATACGCCCTATCTCTCATCCCAAAGCTTTTACAGCTCCATCTGTGGTGCTCTAACAAGGCTGGAAACGAGGATAAACTAACCCTGTCACTGGGGCACACTAATGCTACTTTACCACTCTGGATTCAAGCTGGCTCAGCGTGCAAGGAAGGTCATGTTTGTCTGTAGGCCTCTCTCATGTTCATGTAGGCACTTTCTGACAACTTAGATTCCTCAGTCCACCACAGAACTGTCACCATGCTCAACATGCAGGCACACAGGCCGTGCTCTTGGAAAGAGTACTGTGCCAGGTTGGCACCACCTAGCCCTCAGGGTTCCTCTCTGCAGTGGAGCAGCATAAACCACTCTGTTCAGAGCAGTGTGGACTAAATCCTATGCCTAGCCACCTATCACAGCCAGAGAGGCGCCGAAAGAGACAGCTCTTCTGGTTCTCCTGTTCTTCTCAAGCAGCTAGCTAGCTGAGATGGGGAATACACTGGTGACACCTTCCCACAGTCCTCTGTCCACTGCAACAACCAGACTAGTAATCCGACCAAGCCTGCTTTAACACAAGAGGTGAGAACCTGTGGGGACAACCAGACTGACCATGATCATTCAGATGCCTGAGAGAGAGCGGGGTGAAATCTAGCTTTCAAGAAATGAGTACATCTCTAAGAGGGAAGATGGCACTTTACCAGAAGAAACAGCTTACGTTTGTTTGCTGCGAGCTGGGACTTATACTGGCCTCGAACCAGCCGGCAGGTGGACCCATCTCCATTGCAGACCCCACAGTTATCTTCCTTGGCAGTGCTTCCCAGCTGGCGGTCACAGCCAACGATCTGGCAAGAAAGGAAGATGTGCATTTCAATGTGAGCACCTACCAACTGACTGCTTGATCCATCTCTGCAACTAATTACCACTAAATTTCTCTCTCAGCAGCTCTAGAGGGCCACAAAGTACCTTAGCAATGAAAGAGACTAATCAAATCTGGCTGGGAGTTATCACTAAGGTCAGGCATGAGGTAGTGAACTCAACGGCTTTTGCAGTCCAGAGGAAGAAAAGAGTATTGTTGGAGGTTGTTATTTTAGGGCATTGCAAACATTTATTGGTCAGAGTCCTATCAGAGATTTCACTTCTTGAGAGTTTCAACTGCCTGAAACAGATAAGAAGACAGATAGGAAGCAGACAGATAGATAAAAGTAAAGAGCAGTGTAGATCAGTCGTAACATGGCTCAGTGAAATTTTACCTGCTATGCAGCTGGGAAAACCATGTGGTTTTAATTATGTTTGACAATAATCCCATTCCACACTGTCAATGCCTGTGTTCAGACATTGCAAAAGATCTGATAAAGAAGGAGAGAACGATTGCAGCAAAAATACTGGGAGTCAGAAATGCAGTTGCCTGCTCTGAAATTGGTTTTATGCCTATATGTGAATTGTTTAATTCAAAATTTTAAAAGCTGTATACATAAACTAGGTTTCTCAGTTTGCAAAAGCCCCTGTAATTCCCAGGAGAATCAAATATAAATTTATAATTAAGTACATTTAAAATTAACAAATGGAATGCAAATTTATTTAACACAGTGTTAATCTAGGCCTATTGCTGGCACTTTGAGTTCTGCATCCAAGTTATGCATTTTGCACATAAATAACTGAAATCCTAGAAATTAGGAAAGTCCTCACAGAGTGTTATAACTATCTTTTCAAGTACTAGAAAATGAAAGGCCTTCTAGCATTCTGGAATGCAGAGTAAGCAATGAAAAAATATTTGTATATAACTTCTACTTCTTATGAGTTTGTGCTAAGGCTCTTAGCCAAACAGAGAGTATATATAAACACAGGGAATTTTACATAAAGTTCTCATTTCAGTTTTGAATTTCCCTGCATCCCTGAGTTTCAGTTAAATCAGACAGCTGGGTCCTTGAAAATTGTAACACAAAATTATAAGAGCACTTATCAGTAAGATTCAAAAAGCTGTATGTGTAACTTGCTCACTTAAACATTCAGACCAGTACTTCTTATTTATGCAAATCTGAGTGCACAGAATTCCAGATCCCTGTGAGAGTGAGAAGTATTTTTAATTGTCTCTTAAATATCTCTTCATTAGCCTATGAAAATGCAGACTTTGATTAATAACCAGTATTTACTTTTAGCAATTCAATTTCCATTTCTAACATCATCACTTTACCAGTGGCACAATAGCTGTTTCCTTGCTCATATTTGTCCCATTGAGAGTATAACTAATTTAATTTAAGTCATTACAGATTTAAATTCAGGCTTGCTGAAAGGTGACATCAGATTTCTTCAACTGATATTCCAGATCAGAACTGGGTCAAGCCTTCTACGCTTCTGCATTATATTATGATGTCTCCAAGGGAATTAATTATTTGAGGTCCAATGGAGTAAAAGCCACCCGTAAATGATACATTTCCTTGAAAACCTAGTTATACCAAGACTTCAAGAGATATTTTAACACATTAGAAACACCATGAAAAATAATGGTTAGAAAGCTGAAGCAAAGTTAATTGTATGTGACTACTCCATACAGAACTTCCAAATACAGATATATAAATTGTATCCATGATATCATGTAAGATTTAAGTCTATTTTTTTTTTTTCAGAATAAGAATATCCCTACAGGACCTGAATGCAGGCTGTTATGCTTTAATTTCCAAAAATGCCTCTGTGTAGACAAGATGGTAAAAAGAATAACTTGCATGATCTGAAAACTATATGACACAATGCCTACAAATCAGGTTAATTTCCTTGTAATGCATTAGAGATCGCTAATGCCCACAGTGAGAAGGGTCCTGCTGGGGACTCCAGATAACAGAAGAAAGGTTAGAATTCCCTTTCAATATCTGCTCATAATATATTTTGTACTCAATAGTTTAAAACCTTCAATTCAGAGTAGTACACAAATCTTTATCCCTTTGCCTATTCTGAAAAGAATATATGAAGTGCTTGGATGTGAAATGAGCTGAATCTTAAATCCGAGTATGAGGTGACCAATTTTAAACGACAGTATTAACTACTTTAAAGCATTTTTAACTTCATGAATATCACGTTGCCATGAGCTGTACCCTGATTAAAGTTAATTTATAAATCGAGCAATTTGGAGCTAGGTCACATCTTGTAAAGGAAACTACCAGAAAAATCTCAGGTGTGCAAAGAAGTTATACTGAAGTTTGTTTCTTTTTTTGCATTGGACTGCCATTACTAGTGTATAGCATAAAAATATTTCTTCTGCTGAAATGCTGCATTTCAAATGGAAGTATGAGCAAAGCGGAACTATGGAGACTTCTGTGAATAACAACACTTCTGTGGTATGTACAAAATGTATATTAACTTTCCTGTAATTGGTAGTGTCTCAGATAATTTAATGTTATTAAAATTCTTGATGACCTTAAATTAATTTCCTGTTTCTCCCCAAGGTTTCTGCAGAGCTTTTTGTTTTCTCTGTTAGATTATCTGTCTCAATAGATACACAGAGCTCTGAGAATATGTATAAAATTTTCAGTAAAAACTCTTATGAGTGATTAACTAATGTCTGAAATAAAAAATGTTCCCAAGTCCACTGTTTTTTTCTTTTCTTTTTTTCTCCCATCACTATCTAAGGAGATCTTTCTTCCATCTTTTGAACATAATTACATGCAGTAAAAAGGTTGCTAGTGTTTGCAATAGAGTCACTGATGCTTTAAAATGAAAAACACTGCTCTGTATCTGTTGTATCACTTTTTAGTAGCTCTTATGAAAGCAAAAGACCAGAAAAGGGAATATTAAAGTGCTCCTCAAAAAATACACAGTTCATAAGAATAATAAGTTTTGTCTCTCTGAGCACAAGAAACATAAGTTTGAGTGGAGATGAGAATATGTCATTTCCATAAAATTATTTTCACTCTCCATCAAGGCTGCAGAGAACTCACTGGAAAAGATTACAGAATGGGTGAAAATATGTCACTACTCCTCCAGAAGTCTGCAGAGAAGTAGCAAGGAACAGGAAGGCAAAATTGTTTGTTTCAGCATCCAACCATAACATGAACAAAACACAGAGGGGAAGTTTTAAAATGGCTGTTATCAGAGATGTCAAAGATGCAACAGTAGGAGAGGTCAGCCAACAGGAAAAGTATATTCACTTGGGTTGCCTATGGGCATACTCATCCAACTCATCCAACTAGAGGTGGCTGAAGACCTTGTCACAAAAATAAGCACCATGGAAGGTACTGTTTGATCAGTTTGCTAGGCAAAGGAGAGAATACGGATTTTGCACCTCTAATATATAGCTCAGAGTAATGGTTTGGTGGACACAGTTTGAAACAAAATACTGACATATTTGAATCGGAGGTCTGGAGAATATTTCACTCTCTGAAAAGGTTCGAAATGTCAACTCTTTGTCTTGGTTTGAAACTGGACCCAATGTTTAAATCCTTAAGTTTCTGTGGGATAGAAACTTCCTTTTCCAATGCATTCTAGTCCTGATCTTAATATACCTTGGAGAATTTAGGCAGATGAAATCTTTTTTAATCCATAAAGGTCTGGGAAGGAAGCCCCCACCAAGAATGAAAATGGATTACTGCAACAAATTATGCCTGGAAATGTTCTGAAGTAAGCAGTTTTCATACTCATTTCTGTTACATTTTAAGCTTCCTCCCCTTGAAGTAAGGTAATGAAGCACAGACTTTCCAGACTGAAATCTTCTGAGTTTCAAATTGCTGAAGTGTGGTCAGGGGCTTGAACTGCAGATTGTTACCATACAAAATATCAGAAACAGCTCTGTTAAGTTCCCTGACAACCAAATTCAAACTGCAATAAAATCAAGAACATGCACTTATAAATTTGATAAGCTTTGGATGAATTTCTTGTACATTTTTGAAGGTGTTTCTATGAAGCTCACTGCTATTGTGGTTAAATGCCCTTAAAGTAATAAAGGCAGACTATGGAGAGCTCTGGAAGTCTCTCAGTATATGGAAGATGTCAGCCATGTAGTATCAGAGGGAGGAAATCACAGGTGAGTACCAACTCCCTGCCCAGCTCTTCATTACCACCCCTAAAGTGAGCTGATTTTTATTCTCCTTATGGGTTTAGCTTGAAAAGTCTAGCAACAAAAAGCTAGAATAGTAACACCTAATCCCTCGTTGGCTGAGCCTGTATTGTTTTCTGGCATAAGATACCACAGTTCTGCTCAGAGGTAAAGATTCCATATTACATTTTAGGCTGAAGTCCCATACTTCATGCTGAGTTTGATTCTCCTTCTCCCCTCTCCCCCCTGGCCTTTTACTCCACTGGCAGCCTTCGGTTGGTGAAACAACCAGAACAATAGATACAATTAGCAAAATAAGTTTTACAGAGCACTGCAAGAAAAAAGATGGTCATCAGCTTAGAAGATCAATTGCTTGTGTATAGTTTAAAGGCATCAGGTTGAAAATCCCACAGTAGAATTGGAACTTGCTCACTGAGCGCACACATGAGTGTTATGCGTGCATGCGTTCCCCTCGTGGACTTGAACTTTGGCTCAGTTTAGCAATTTTTCCAGAAATAAAACTGGGCCAGCAATGACAGGTTCTGTTCCAGCCGTTGTAGCCTGGAAATGCCCTGAAGTAAGAAGTTTTCATAATAATTTCTATTCAGTATTAAGAAACGCTGGGCAGGAAATAATGTAATAAAGCAAGCTTGCAAATCTAGCCAGCTATAAATAAATTTCTCTGTTTTCCAAAGGGCATGTCTGCAGTTCAAACACAAGAAATTCTGAGAACCCAAGGAAAACAAAGTTGCCCTTCACATAGATACTAATGTAGGGCTCAATCTGGGACTTGTGTTGATTGTCAGTGCTCAGCTGAAG